AGGCTAAGGGTCCCACTTGTGGATAACAGATTCAAAATTTCCGCACACGGGGCTAGGAATCAATCTGAGCTTTTCACAAAATCACTGGGTGATTCTTGTGCATACTCCCGGTTGAGAACCATGGTCTGAGGCCACAGACAATGATAACACAATGTGATAAGTAAAGAGACAATCGAGGTTCCTGGTAGAACACTGAGCAACGACGCTTAAGTCAATTTCCTGAAATACCTCTTGGTGAAATAGGAGCTATCTAGGTTAAAAAGAAGCAAGGAGCTTTCTAAACAAATGTAACAAACAGCATGTGCAGTGGGAGAGAGGCGGGCTATGCGTTCCGTGTTGAACAAGGTAGAAGATTAGGAGAAAACTCAAGTAATAATCACTGTTCAACTCTTTATAGCTTAGCACAAACACCTTTCCAATTCTTGTGCCAACTTCTCATGAGGTCAGGAAACAACACCTGACATCCACACTGCTATGCGTCTCATTCCTACTCCACCGGCTTCAGAGCAAGCATACCGGTTTCTACATCTCTGTGTAGGCTTCCATATGAGATTATCAGGAGGCCTACAATTTAGCCAAGTGTTTAAAAGTTCAGTCTTTGGAGTAAGAGCAGCCTGGGTTTGTATCCTGGTTCTGTCACTGACCAGCAAATCACTTAAGTTCTCTGAACCTGAATTTTCTCATCTATGAAACCAGAATAATCACCAATAATGGGACAAAGCAACATCACGCGGCTCCTCATATGCTGCACCAAGAAGGACACAACACCACCTCTCTAGCGTTTCTGCCAAAACTGCAAAGCCTGAATTTAATCACAAGAAGACATCAAACGAACCCAAACTGAACGACATTGCACAAAAAACCTGCCCCATACTCTGCAAAAATGTTAAGGTTATGAAAGGCTGAAGAGTGTTCCAGATTAAAGGAGACTAAAGAGATATGACAATAAATGTAATGCATGATCCTGCATGGGACTGTGGGGAAATAGCTATAAGGGACCTTACTGAGAATTCTGATGAAATTTGAAGATGGACTATGGACTTTGAATTAGAAGACAGTGTTAAATCAATATTAAATTTCCTGATTTTTATAATTGTACTGTGGTTATGTAAGAGAATTATTTTATTCTTAGGAAATATATACTGAGTATTTAGGGGTAAAGAGGTAGGATGCCTCCAAGTCACCCCCAAATGGTTCAAGAAAATTATATATATTATAGAGAAAGCAAATAACCAAAACCCATTGCCGTTGAGTTGACTCTGACTCATAGCAACCCTGTAGGGCAGAACAGAACTGCCCCATAGGGTTTCCAAGGCTGTAATCTTTATGGAAACAGACCACCACATCTTTCTCCCATGGAGTGGCTGGTGGGTTTGAACCGATGACTTTTTGATTAGCAGCCAAGCACTTAGCCACTACACCACCAGGGCTCCAGAGAGCAAATAGTGAAAGCAAATAATAAAGCAAGTGAAGCAAAATACTATAATTAGCGACTGATAAGAAGTATACAGGAGTTCTTTGTACTATTCTTGCAATTTCTCTGTTTTTGAAATTGTGTCAAAATAAAAAGTTATTCTTCAAAACTATCAAGGCTATGAAAAAACAAGGAAATACTGAGACCCTGTCAAAGATTGGAGGAGACTAAGAAAAAATGCTAACTATATACAATGTGGAGTCTTGGATTGGATCCTGAAACAGCAAAAGGACATTAGTGGAAAAATTGGTGAAATCCAAATAACGTTTGTAGTTTAGTTAATAGTATTGTATCAATGTTAATTTTTAATTTTGACATACGTGATATGATTATATTAAGATGTTAACATTAGAGAAAATTGGGTGAAAGGTACACTGGAACTCTCTGTACAATCTTTGCAATATTTCTGTAAATCTAAAATTATTCCAAAATAAAAAGTGTATTTAAAAAATATGTGTATATATGAAAACATACACACACACACACACACACACACACACACGCACAGTCTATCCACAAAGGCAGAGTACCAGCTTGATCCCAAAAGCACCTGTAAGTCAATACCAGGATCAATCTGCAATATTTGATAAAAATAGTTTACCAGAATCACTGAACTAGAATCTCTTGGGATGGGGCTGCTGACAACATGTATTTGAAAAATTGCCCAGGTGATTCTGATAGCACCTAGGCTTGGGAAAGAGAATCCAGTACACACTTCTTGGACTTTAATATTCACAGGAATCACTGATGGTCTCATTCAAAGGCAGACTTTGGGGAGGGGGCATTTCTAACCAGCTCTCAGGTAATGTCCATGCATCTAGTCCTCAGTCCCACATACTGAGAATGGAAAAGCAACAAGTGTCCATGACACTGTGGAGCATCACCCCAGCCCAGGCCCACCACGGGCACGTGAGGACAAACTTCTACCTTGTTGAAACCATTATTCTCTTAGGGTGAAGCCAAGCCTGGTCCTACCTACATTTACTCTGTACCAAAGTCGTGCTTACACTTAGTCTGCATCAAGTATTCCTAGACCTTTTTTTTTTAGGTAAATTCAACTAACATCCTCTCTCCAACAACAAAACAACACATAAGAAAGGATAAGCATTTGTTTCCTGACACAAATAGACATCTCTATTTGCACGGGTTGCTTCTAGAATCACACAAAACTACCTCAGACAGTCATGTTAAAATGACAGTGAGGTGCAGACACCTTTTGTGATAACAACCGTAAAAGTGTACCCTTTCCTCCATTCAAGCTCAACTAAGCCTGATTTGACCTTTACAATTTATCTTAATAATTCCTTTGGATTTCTACAATGCCATATATAACTCTTGCAAAAGTCTTCAACCAAATAATAAAATCTTTGCCAGGAAAAAAAATTGTAAGTTATAATCACAAAATAGTATTTAGAACAGAAATGAAAAATAGAGTTACTATGACATCCTAATTTTGAAACTGTAGTAGGTCATTTAAACTCCTATATTATATGCTTTATGAAACCCATAAGCGTACATGAGGTCTCAACCCTTTTCTCCTTAAATCATTTGCTGTAGAATGACTATAGTCAAAGAAGGACAAACATAATCACCCTGCAATAAACTGTTATTAAATAATAAATGAGAGCCAGGCAGTGAGACTCTCAGGATTCGAGCTAAAGGATGCCTTTACAGATAAACCCATTTTTTTTAAAAAATCTTTTTGATAAAATGTTTTTCTCATTCAATAAATATTTATACCGGTTGCTGTTGAGTTGATTCCAACTCATGGCAATCCTATCTGTGTCAGAGTAGAACTGTGCTTCATAGGGTTTTTAATAGCTGATTTTTCAGAAGCAGGTCACCAGGCCTTTCTTCCAAGGTGCCGCTGGGTAAACTCAAACCTCCAACCTATCAGTTAGCAGCCAAGCACATTGACCATTTGCACCACCCAGGGCAAAATAAATACTAATTGCACCAAACAGCTGTTAATATTGTAACAAAGTACCAAAGTACTTGTTGGCTCCTTTTGCAAAAAGGGAAGAGAAAAATCATTCAGAAATTAAGTTTTGTGCTGCCGATATTAAGACAACTGGCACATAGTCATGGGCACAAAGGCAGGGCCTGGACAGCCTCCTCTGTGTCGACGGCCCAAAGCAGAATCCACTTGTCCCTCCTGCCTCCATCACAGCTTCACACACAAGCCCTTTATTGACACAGTCCAAGTAGATGCTGGATGAGCATAAAAACCCCATCCATGCCCACTGTATGTGGTACAGAAATCAACTACACTGCAACTATTATTTCATAGATTATTCAACATAGCTAGAGAGAGAAGGGAGTCTTTGAAAATTCCAGTAGAGAAAGGAAACTGAAAATAACCAAAAAATTTCCCTCAGCATTACTAACCTGATCGATTTCCATGAGCTTGGGGTAGGCGCCTGGCCATTCTATGGCCACCTTTACGATGTCCGAAGGGGGAGGCATTGCAAACCCCGAGTATGTCCAAAGCCAGTGGAACTGAGTGTCCTAGGGTGCAGACAACCACACGTGTTTACACCTAATGAGGAATGACAAAAAGAGAAAGAAAAAGCGTTCAATGCAGATGCAGGACAAATTCTGCTTCATCATTTCCTGTTTTCACCAGTGGTTTACGTATGAGAAACGGCTCCCATTCTGCCCACTGGTGCTGAAGATGCCAGGGCGCCAACTGCACATCCAGAAGAAAGACAGGGTAAGGTGCCAGCGCCCTTGAGTTAATGTCTCGAGGAGACACTGCCCTGGGTAAGTAGAGCTTGTGTGAATCTTCGGCGGGGAGAAAGCAGTCCCTCACCACTGGGTTCCGTTCCGAATGTGTCCCCAGAGTCTGAAAGAGCTGTGCTCACTCTCCATACAAGAAAGCATGTAAACCCCTCATGCTCAACAGTCTCCGGAAGGACAGATTGCCCAGGAAGTCATGATCAGGAAGCAGTGTTTCTTTCAAGCGTGTTCTGTGTCACAGATACATCTCTGCACAACAGCAACCAGGATATCTTGAGGAACGAGAAGTGGCCCCAAGAGTTCGCACACATACACACACACACTCCCTCCTCAAGGCCAGTTCACACAATGTGTCTTCCAATGAGGGAAGAAAACTAACAGATGTGAAGAGAAAGGCATTCAGAACAGACCTTGAATTCTCCTCTGCATGAACAATGCTACTCACGCAAAGGAAATAAGATTATCCTCTACAGGCAGTCCCCGGGTTACAAACCAGATCCTTTCCTAAGTGTGCCTTCAAGTTGAATTTGTAGGTAAGTCGAAACAGCTGCATATGGTTCTTACTCAGCCTTACTTTAGCGCAAGAAAAGGCTGTAAGCCTTTGC